ACACTATTATAAATGCTGGAGGTGAAGCGGGGTTTGGGCTGGAGGCTGACTGCTCACAACCTCCAAGTAATAAACCTGTGACCCTCTGAGGGGTCACAACCTCCAGTTTGAGAACCCCTGCCTTAGACTCTACAAAATAAATAAGGTTAATAATTAAGTCCACTTCCCACTAAACCCAGCAGGAAATCCACACCAGCCATCCCTATGCCAAGTCCTACTGACTGGATCCCTAACACTGCAGCCTGTTAAATGGATTCTACAGGCTGATGAGAAAAATTGAACGTCAGCCAACAGAGTGATGCAGCTGTGAGAATGGCTAATATAATTCTGGAGTCTATTAACAGAAGTGTCATATGTGACACATGGGAGGTAATGTCCTGCTCTACTCAGCACTGGTGAGGCCTTAGCTCAGTAGGTCCCAAACTTTAACGACCTGTGAACCCCTTTCACTAAAATGTCAAGTCTTGTGAACCCCCTCCTAAAAATGAATATTTCCAGGGATTTTCTCCTTACCGGAGTATAAATTATAACAGCAGTGATCTTGGAAATGTGTAATAAGGATGTTATAAAAACAATTTTTATAACATCCTTATTACACACTATTTATTATTATTTATCATTACAGTATTTTTATTACATTATGAAAATGGCAACACTCTTCCAAGATCTCACTTTTGTAGCTTGTATCACTTTGAATAAGCCTGTTATAAGGCAAGGCTCCTACCCTTGTTGCCAAGAAGGCTAACGGCATTTGGGGCTGTATAAGTAAGAGCATTGCCAGCAGATTGAGGGATGTGATCATTCCCCTCTATTCGGCATTAGTGAAGCCTCATCTGGAGTACTGTGTCCAGTTTTGGACCCCACACTACAAGGATGTGGAAAAATTGGAAAGAGTCCAGCGCAGGGCAACAAAAATGATTAGGGAGCTGGAGCACATGACTTATGAGGAGAGGCTGAGGGAACTGGGATTGTTTAGTCTGCAGAAGAGAAGAATGAGGGGGGATTTGATAGCAGCTTTCAACTACCTGAAGGGGAGTTCCAAAGAGGATGGATCTAGACTGTTCTCAGTGGTACCAGATGACAGAACAAGGAGTAATGGTCTCAAGTTGCAGTGTGGGAGATTTAGGTTGGATATTAGGAAAAACTTTTTCACTAGGAGGGTGGTGAAGCACTGGAATGGGTTACCTAGAGAGGTGGTGGAATCTCCTTCCTTAGGGGTTTTTAAGGTCTGGCTTGACAAAGCCCTGGCTGGGATGATTTAGTTGGGATTGGTCTTGCTTTGAATAGGGGGTTGGACTAGATGACCTCCTGAGGTCCCTTCCAACCCTGATATTCTATGATTCTAAGTCACATTTCTTTCTTATTCCTCCCACAATGAATTCTGCTGCAGACAATTATATTGCTATTATGATTCATTTACTTATCTGGTTTTATCCAGCAGAGGGAGCCCTTGTCTACACCAGGGTTTGGCCCCATTAACAGTCATCGGTGACCAGCTACCAGAGCACAAACCGGCAAATCCTCTATAAAATGTGATTTGCCCTGGTGCAGTTTAACCTTTACTTGAAGCAGAGGTAAACTGCACTGATGCAAATTGAGTCTTACAGCAGCCTTGCCTGCGGGATGGGGTATTTGGTGTCGCACCAGGTCTCCTCCAATGGCTCAAATCCTAATGTAGACAAGGCCCAAGGCTGCAAAAGCCAGAGTCCAAAGGAGGTTCACAGTACATCTTTAAAGACACACTAAGAAAATAAAAGCACAGCTCAACACATTTGCATCAGTGTTTGGAGAATATGGAGATTTTGCAATGTAGGAGAAGTTTGTCAGTTTTGCTCTTTATTACTGTGATGTGCTTTTTTGACATACTCCTTTGTGAAGGAGATGGTCTCTCCTTTATAATCAACCAACTCGTCCTACTATATTTGTTCACTGTCACGTTCCAGTGTTCGTGATATTGCAGTTCACTACAAAGCACACAGCTGAAACATTCCTCAATGAATCACGCAGGAAGAAGAGGCTGATTATAAAGGAACAAGCTTCTGTTTATACATGTATCTTGAGGCATTCAAATGCTACGGGGGGAGAGAGGGGGAAGACATTCAGAAGTAGTACATGGCAGCGTGATGGGGTTCTGCTAAAACATTATTTTTCAATTTGTCAAAGCATGACTGGCATAAAATACACAGATGTGGACAGATCTTGTCCTTACTTGATTTTGCCAGTAAATTGGCTTTTTTGTGACCAGACACACGGCTCAAAATGGTTTTAAATTTAACTTAGTCCCACATGTTCAGAAGTGACCAGTAATTGTAGGTGTTTCAGTTGAGGGACCTGATTTTCAGAAACTTCTCAGCATCTACTCTCTGGTAACGAGGCCTCAAGTCAGCCACCCAAAATCACTTGTCACTTTTGAAAATATAGGTCTTAATGTCTTAAGGAGGGTGGCTTTCTAAGAACATAGTTTTTCCATATTGGGTCAGACCAGTGGCTCATCTAGCCCACTATCCTCTCTTTAGATAACATTATGGGAAGCTTTATGTCCAATCAAACATGCGATGCTATATGTGCTGGGAAAATTCCTGATCCACAAGTGATCAGTTTACACTCAAGCAGTGGGTTAGGTCACCCTTACCTTATCCAGCACAGCTACAAGTGTTATTAATGGTCAAAATTATGCAGGGTGGGTTTTCAAATCCACTCATAGTATTTGGATTGCTCTCCTGCAGCAGTGGCTGCTGAACATGATTTGACTTTCTCTCGGATTGGAAATCCCAGCATCTGGACGCACTGCTGCTCAGTTTCCTTTCCTACTGGCTCCATAGCCAAGGCGTTTGCCACTTCCTCCAACGTTGCTGGAATTCTGCTACTACACATGGGCCACAAGACTGTTTAAGGCGGGAGAGTCAGGCTCCAGGATGGGTTGGGGATGCAAGCCATGTTTTGGGGGCAACTAGGTTCAGTCTTCACCGTTTTCCTTTGGCTGCACTTCTTCCAATATTTCATTTTAGTGCTAAAGGGGCCAATGCCATCTCTGTTCTGGTGGGAAAACTGCCTGGTGTTAGGTAGAGCCCTGCAAATCCGTGGATATCCACGGACCGTTTTTGCAGATAGCGGATTGGCTGCAGATACAGCCATGCAGGGCTCTACTCACCGGCGGTGCTGGACCTGCGGCGTCCAGCTTGGGCAGCGCTGGGGGCGCAGCGTGCTCAGGGCTGGGTGGGCAGGTTGGAGTCGGGGCTGTTCAGCATGTGCTTACTGCGCCGCTTCCTGTAAAGTAGCTCGGCCCCTCAGGCAGCACCAGTATCCCCCCATGGCCCGGCCGCACTGGCTGCGCTCCCAGTCCTAGGGTTACCATATTTAAACCTTAAAAAAGGAGGACACTCCACGGGGCCCCGGCCCCGCCCCTTCCCCAAAGTCCCCGCCCCAACTCTGCCCGCTCCCCTGAGCGCCCCACATTCCCCCTCCTCCCTCCCAGGCACGCGAAGCTGCCTGAGCGCTACCGGCTTCACGGTTTGCCGGGCAGCCCCCAGATCTCCAGACCCTGCGCCCCCAGCC